CGTGCGTGCGTGCGTGCGTGCGTGTGTGTGTGGTGCGTGCGTGCGCATGTGCGCGCGTGCATGTCGTGTGTGCGGTTGCACGATATATATGGACGCGATGGAAACATCTATAAATGGATTGAGTTGGGTGTTAGGATGGAGCTGTTTGATTAGTGCCGGTCTTGCTGACGCACGCCAGCGACTTGCCTACGAGACGCTGTGCTACACATTGCACGGTGCCACGCGCTTCAGCCCGTGCACAAACTCGAGGGTACTGCAACTCCTCCTCTCTTACTCAGGTCCCCAGCGCCAAGTGCACCGTCAAGTTTGTTGGCGGTTACGAGACCAAGGATGAGTGCGAGGCGATGGTGTGATGCCTGGGCAAGCCAGGTCACCTAGGGTGTGTCTCAAGCATCGATTTTGAGGGGGCCGCTGTCCCGCCACCCCTGCTGGGGGCCTTGCTGGTTTGTGCATACTGTAGGGGCACTTTTCAACGCTTGGCTCCAAGCAAGCTGCTCGTTTCCTGGCCCTTACAATATCAAACAGAGGAAGCACTGCTGTTTTGAAATTGTTTTGACTATTTTTCAACGGATGATATCGCACCCCGTGCGTGTGTAAGCCGTGCCTGGCGGCCGCGTGCGGCCGCGCGTGGTGCCTGGCCGCCATGCAAGAAGTCCACAGCCAGCAGCGCAGGGTTGGCTGCCGCTTTGGGTTGCACACACAATGCCGTATACAGAATGCCGCTCGTTGCCAAGCGTTGCCATTGGTGGCTATATATGCTTGCAAGGGGGAAAGCGAGGCGGCGGGCCGAGGCGCCGGCGCCGACGCTGCGACCCCCCCGGGATGAGTCGCGCGGGTCGATGGGGTGTCCACAGCCGTCGCAGCCGCTGCCATTCTGCCGCTGCGTGTTGCCATGCGCGGCAATCCTGATAATCATTTGCTCATTGTTCACAGGGGTAGCACTTACAGACCAATCAATCAGGGCGTCCCGCAGGTTTGTGGCATGCTTGTCACCGGGCATGTGGAGGCTATGTTCATGCTATTTTGACCAGATTCAACACACACAAGTTCGCAGTCTGCAGCCTCTAGGTTTAAACCACCCATTGTCGCAAACTTTGAACCATGCACTTGCGACAATGGGTGGTTTAGCAACTTGAAGTTGCTGAGTGCATGGATGCACGGGTGGCACTCACTGTGGGGTGCTGCAAGAGATGGGGAAAATGCACTTGACTCCTCGCTGGCGCTTCAGATGCTTGGCAAAGTCGCTGCTGCAGGTGTACTTGCCTTAGCATGTTGGCTCTTACTCCCCTGCTTGACGGCACCGGTGCGGATGCGAGTTTGGTGCAAAGTTTGCAGCACCAGTCTTGCACATGGGCTGTAACACAGTGGCAATATAGCGCACGCGCCTTTGCAGGATGTTGTAGGGCTTTGATGGTTACACCTGGCAAGCTGGCAGGTAGGAATGCGTGCCCAGACATTAGATAATGACCAGCAGTACAAAGTGAGTCAGAAATCTGAATTGTAGCACACCTAGACCTGAAGACCGGCATTGCTGCATCGCTCGCATGTGTCTACTCAAAGCGTGACAAGCGCTCTCATAGAGCAAGGCATTGTGCCGCCCACAGGCACGGCCGCACAACAGAATGATGAATGATCATGAGTCATTCTGCATGAGATTGGCCTCAGATGAGTACCGCGTTGTGACAGACATTCCGGCAAATTCGCGTTCCAAACCCTTGAACAGTGGATTCAGCCATCTCAGCATCAGTATACATTTCCAGCCAAGACCTCTTGAACAAGAGGGCATAAGCACGTCACAAACAAAACACTGACGGGTGACGTCATCAAACGGTCACGGCCGCGCCCGCGCGCGCCGCGGCTGCCAGCGGCGGCGCCGGTGCATTGGCGCTGCCCGCGAGCACAGCCGGCCCCTCGGCCACCAGCTGCGCCAGCCCCCTCTTCAGCCGCGCCGCGGCCTCCGCGCACACGTCTGGTTTCAAGTTTGCAAACGCCGCCCGCACGTACCCGGGGCAGCCGCACGCCGACCCCGGGATCAGGCACACCCCGTGATCTGAGATCAGCCAGGCCACCACCTGCTCGTCGCTGTTTTCGAATCCGCGCGGCAGCCGCGCCCAGAAGTAGATCGCGCCCTCCCCGCCCGCGACCGCGGGCGGCGCCGCCGTGCCGCCGTCGCCGTCGGCCGCGGCGTTGAGCGGCGACAGCGCGTCTAGCAGCGCGGCGCGGTTGGTCGCAAGCGCGGCCACGTTGGCTGCTACGTAGCTTCCGCCCAGCTGCAGGGCGGCGAGGGCGACGTGCTGGCTGAGCGTGGGGGGGCAGATTGGGATCGTGTCTTGGACCTGGGAGAAGCAAGGGGGGATTGCGTGTGAGGGGAAGGATTTATTTGTCAACCGGCATCAAACAGTTCGGGAGAGGGTGAGTGTGTGTAGGTTCGCAGGCGGTGTGCAGCGCGGCGCGGGGAGCGCGGGGGGCGCGAACGGGCGGAGAGGGATCCGCGTCCGGCTGCGCGGCAGCCAAGCAAGCGGGCCAGCAGCAGCGGGCCCGCGGGCGCCCGGCCGCCCGCCGCGCCACAGCCGGCCCCAGGGGGCGGTCGCTCGGAGACAGAGCGATCGCCCGTCTCAGTGATTCCTTCTCTCCAGGACAACAACACATTGCCTGACCCTGGCGGTACGTTTCCAGAGGGGCTTAAGGGACTGAGTTTAAGGATGCAAAAACGGGTGTCAGATCACCTTGAGCAGCTCCTGCCCCAGTAACGCGTCCGCCCCTGGCCCCAGGGGCCAGGCTATGTAGCCGACCCTGTAGCCCATCATGCCGTACCTGGGTGAGGGGTTAGGTTTTGAAGTTCGGGGTTTCGAATTGGGTGGTGGGGGTGGCTGGAGCCGGCTGGAGTTGGGTGGGTACGGGAGCGTGGATGCGTTGCTGGCTGGCTGGCTGGCTGGTGGATGGGTGGGTGGGTGGGTGCTTGTGTGGGTTATGGTCCAGCCGAGTCGGAGTGTTCGAAAGATGGCCGCGGGGTCTGCATGGAAAAAAATAGGTAGGATAGATCGGCACGCCACAAACCAGCAGCAAGTGTGGTGTGCGCCTGACCAGCAGCAGTGCTGCTGCAGGTATGAACTGAGGCGATTGTGGATTTGCAATCAGCAGCAACAAGACTCTGAGCATGCTGCAACCCTATGGGACTCATCATAACTCAGCCTTCCTTGTCGCCCTTCCGCTGCAGGATGACTCACGCTTTTGAAAACGAGAAGACGTTGATAATGTTGGGCCCTCCTGCGCAGTGGTGCCGCCGCCCCTCGTACAAAAACTGCTCGCTGGGGGTTTCCAATCAGGCGGTCTCAGCAGCGGCGTTGGTAGTGCGCTATAAAAAAGGGGGGCCTGCTCCGCTCAGCGACAGGCAGTGCTTTGGGGAACGCATCGCTGGCATGTGTGGCACTCAAGGCGCGGCGCGGAGCGTTGCCTGTGCTCGGTGGACCGCCACTGTCAAAGAGGCACGCCTCGCACCTGGTGGGGCCGCACGTTCGGCAAGCTTCGCAGAGCATCGATTGGCCGCTACATGCCCGCGACGCGGCGTCGTGCAGGATGCGAAACGCGAAACGATGCGATATGAATTTGACAATTGACCTCCACGATTCCCGGCATTCCCAAATCATGCACCGCTCACTAGGTGTTGTCCAGGACAAGCCACGCCCCGGCCTTCTTAGTCATCTCGGCAGCCCTGGTGATGTCATCCTCGGTCAGCATGACGCCGGTGGGGTTGCTGGGGTTGACCAAAACCACCTGTAGTGGGGGCCAGGGGTATCCATGTGTAAACGCATAAGAGATAACAACCAACGCTGAATGCGGTAAAGGCGGATCAACAAAAAAAGGTTGCCACTCAATCCATGTGTCATTCAGCATCATCAATAGTGAGGCAAGAGCCTTGCAAGCAGGCTGCATGCAAACTCGTGGCTGCAACGTGCAAACCGAAGAGCCACCGTGCGTGAGTGTGTGTGTGGGAGAGAAGGGGTGCACGGGTGGGCGGGTGGGTGGGAACGCTTGTGCTCTGGTGTGAGGAGGCGCCGCACGTGCCGCTGCGTGTGCCTTGCTGCCCAAGCGTCGACCCCGTTGACCCCCAAGGCCGCACCAATTTTGGCGGGTCAGGGCCCTCCAGCTCCCGCTGCAACCACCCCAGGTCCGGCCGCAGGGTCGCGGCGTCGCTCGGCCCCAGGGCCACCCTGCGTGAGGAAGAGAGAAATGAAAGGGAGAGAGCAAAAGAGGTCCAGGGTTTAGGGTAGAGAGGGTAGGAAGCGAGGGTGAGGGGCATGTTAGGGGCCTCGTGGAGCGGTTTGCGGGCGTCGAGGGGCACCGTAATGATGCATCCCCGCCGGCTGACAGCCGAACGAAAGCAGCGAGATGATTTTGGGATAGGCAGGACGCGACGGCTGCGTACGCGTGTGCATGCAGGTGCGGTGCAGCTGGTAACTTTTGCGTGCACAGGGCTGCCCAACCTCTGGCCCGCCGACGACAAACAGCTGCTCTGGCCGGCACTCTCGTGCTGGAGTGCCGGGACACATTACAAACAAACACGGCCAACAACACAACCAGAGCGCCCGACAACAGACCCGTCTGGCGCAGGCACATCTCCTGGCCCGACCCTCCCCTAGAAGCAACAGTGCCATGAAGCGCGCCCCCACCC